GTTATACACAACACTTTAGCCCACATTGCGACGATTTATCCAGTTGGGACGCAAGCGTACAGAGAATGTTGGGATTCACTGTTGAGCTTCCACCAACGGGACCCGGAGTGGACGGGTGAGAACTCGGAGGAATACCTGTCCAGCAAGAGGATCTCGATGGCACAATGATGGATGACTAATGGTAAGAAACACGTCAAGTTGCAGGGCATTGCCATCAAGGTCCTCAGCATGTGGACCACCGCGTCCCCGTGCGAGAGGAATTGGTCCACATTCGACCTCGTGCACACCAAGAGGCAAAATAAGCTGTCTCCTGAAACGCTGGAGAAGCTCGTCTTCGTGCATTGGAGCACCAAGCTTCTTCGAATGTCGCGGTTGAAGAGAGGTTACGTGAACACCGAGCGGCTCGACTGGGAGACTCCGGAGGATGTGGCCTCACATGACGGATTTATGCAGGATGGGGAGTACGACCCCGAGGACGTGGCGAGACAGGCCGCAAATTGGTCGAGAGCAGGCAGTCGCTTATCCAAGGCAACGATGCTTGACATTCAGCCTATTCTAGACGAGGTTGAGGATGACGGAGCATGGTTGGCTGCTCATACTTACACACCTCCTCCGCTCAGACCGGACCGTGCCAGGGTGGTCGAGGATGTTTCAGCGGATTCGGACGATGAGGAGGAGGAGGATGAGATAGCTGATTTGCCTCTTTTGTGTAGCAGGGCGAGGATGACCGCGTCACGCATGGAGCAGGGAGATGACAGTTTGGTTGGTTGTGTTACCGTTACTCCTACCACCCGGGTTGATGAAAGTGCAGTTGGTGGCGCAGGTTCTTGTGTGACCACTTCTATTGGTCATCATGCTTCTGCAACCGTGGCTGTTGGTGGGAGATCAACATTGCAACGTAGCACTTGTGTTGGTGGCACGAGTTCAGCTGCTGATCATGTTCATGGGAGCACTGCAGTTGGTGGGAGTTCGACCGTGCACAACAACAGGTGTTCCTTGTAGTTTGGCAATTGGAGGGAGTTGCATAGTGGACGGTGGTGTTGCTGTTGGTGTGACCGTGAGTGATACTGGTGCAGGTTGCCCTGGGGACGCAGCGGATCTGCCTGCAGGGAAGGCCAGTGCTGATCTTGATGTCGACATGAGTGACGCTGGCGGAGAGTGTCGTCAGGACAGCACCACCATCCCACCTGCAGCAGATGTGTTCGCTTCACTTATCAATTTCATATCCCCTGAAGATTACACGATTTCACCATTGACTTCCCCCCTCCAAACGGACAGCGAGGACAACAATCCACCTCGGGAAAGATTGAGCAGTG